ACCCCCCAGAGCTCAGCACCCCCCTACCACCCTGCCTCCCCAGCCAGCCCCTAAGGGGATGCTCAGCGGGTGCCCCCGAAACACCCCACCAAAAGGACAGCGATGGGGGAAGTACCCTGCCCGCCTGCAGCACCCAGATGCTCTCTCTCCGCTTCGGAAGCAAGTGTAAAAAGAAGTGCCAGGTTCATCTATTGTTCGCAGACTTTCCTTGCTAGAAGGCACGATTTAAGAGGTTTGCGTTCGCAGAAGAATCCCACCGCCACCCTTTATACACACTCACCTTCCCGTGACCCATCGAGCGAGCAAGGTTTACTTTGCTGGGCCTGAGATTGTCAGCCCAGGTGTGACAAACGCAGTAATATTCAGGTGGTATTTTTTATGAATATAAAAGCACGTCTCCGCGCTTTTGCTTCCGATGGGTTGCTTGCTCTAAAGCTCACGCAAGAGAGAATCCAGGACACAGCAAGCAGGAAAGCACCACCCTTGCTTATATAAGGAACATCCCAAATTATCCAGAATAACATTATTTTGGGCAACATGCAAGACAAAAGAATGTTTATATTATTACCCTCTTGGTCAGAAAGAGATGCAGCTCCTTGGCCCCCTCAGCGATAGGTTGTGCCCAGGACAAAGCCAGGGATGGACCAAAAGGGATGCAGAGAACAGGGATGCCCCGGGTGCGTGGGCTGCGGGTACCGCAGGTGCCCGAGCCTGCCGAACAGCCGGGCAGGGGACAGCCAGGCTTGTCACAGCCAGGGCAGGCTGGCAGCTAAGGGGGGGACACTGGAGAATTTAAAAAGACCCAAGGCAGCTCACCCGCAATCGTGACAGCCGGGTATTTACCGTAAACCTCTTCGCAGGCTGGGTAGTGGGACTAGCTATGGGAGGGAGGCAGGGCTGGAGCCATTCAAATTGAAATTAGTGCATTTAATTGCAATTATTGGGAATAGTCAGATCAAGTAACTCCGTGCCAGTCTCCAGCTGAGCACTGTAACTCAAACACAAGGCTTCTGCACTTCATTTTCCCTGTGCACGCTCCAGGAACAGCCAGGTAAATAAATACCACGCTTCTTCCGCAGCTGAACAGGAGTTTATACAATATTCATTCACCTTTTAATGTCTGGTGCCCGGGCACATCCACAGAAAAGCAGTTATTTGTTACCGTTGTTCTCACAAGTGTTTGAGAAACAGTTTTTATGAATACATGAATGTAAACACGACCGTCTCTCCTCAGGCAAATGTACCTTTTTTTGTATTCTCCCACTGTACGAACGCACTTCTGCGGAGAACCGAGGGAGAGGGAGCGGAGCGGATAACCGGTGACTAACAGCACAACGCACGATTAAGCGCAAGAAATCAGCGGGGACACTTTGCAAACAACCCACAGCCTTTTGGCCACGAGACATTCGCTCATCCAGACGGCATTAGCCACGTACAAGCCGCGAAGAATAATTCACTTTAAGCTTTACACAGACTCATTAACAAAGTCAGGGATACAGGAAAGAAAGAAAGAAAGAAAAAAAAAAAGGGTAGCAAGGTTGTTATGCTTTATGAAAAGCACGTGGTGCTAGGTGTGAGAGGTACCCACAGGGGAGCAGGATTTGCCAGGGTTTGGTTTCTTGGGGCGTGTTAATTTGGAGGAAACGCTGAAGAAGCCCTTGCGGTCCCGGTGAGCAAGGCACCGCGAGAGCCAGCAGCTCACCCCCAAAGTTGGG